CAACATCTCGATATGTATTATTTTTTTTGTTTCAGGAAATGTACTTTAAAAGCCCACAGTTTGAAGGTTTCTCTACATACCAGCATTCAGACTTCAAAATAACCTCACATTTCCAGCCCCACTGTTCAATGACAGCGTGCCAGTATAAACAAGCTCTGAGTAATCAGAATGTAGTCTCCTTTGTTTTGTTTCCTTTTTTTTTTAAATTTTCTCTTTTTTACTTAGTAACTGAAGGCATAACTGGTCAGAAATGGAGGTACTATTTCGGGGGGGGGGGCTTTCTTTTTGTAATCAGTTGCTCTTTGAATGTGGGCGCTTTTCTGTCTTTTCCGAACCAGGTTATTGGGGTTTTTTACCACTAGGTTAATTAGTTTACAAAATATTTCCGAAAAATGCACCATCGCACAAATTATTATACCTGTACAACATAAGGAATTCTGACAAGTCCCATCATCCTGGCACAGATTCGCTTTGTATTGTTGTGGTTTTCTACACATTACGCTGTTTATACAACAATAGACCGGTTGCGCCAAGTATGTCACGTGACCCACAGTGGGTATCAAAGAGCAACATACATAGTTTCCCCCATAGCAAAGTGTGTCATAAGTGTCATTTACCAAAAACTAAACCTGGCGGTCGGTGAAGTACTCAGACTACTGATGTGCTGAGTGCCATACAGAAAATCGGCTTTATTTTTGGTAAACACCTAAAACACATATCGCCAAGGGAGGACGCCATGTTTGTTGATATTTTATGCCCATTATAGGTCAGGTGACTTAGCGGGCGCAATCGATCTATTTTTAGACGACAGGCTAAGCATTTGTATATTTCAGGGGAAGCAGAAAGACAAATTCGTTGACGTACCTTTACCATACAAATGCATTCTGTGTCTAAACCTCAATGTGGATTGGAATTATTGTGCACTGTTTGATTTGAACTTACGACCCAGGCCTAACCCCTTTTCTTTGTCATGTAGTACCTCACACTTTTCTCACTATTTTATTTACAATTTCTTTCAATCACCCCAAGTGTGTTACACTACATTTTGACAACTCTTTGATAATTGAACGTCGACATCGCTAATCAATCATGATGGAACATTAATTAAAATGAAAATGTGGACCGGTGTCGGCACCTCCGCACACTTGTGAAACTGTACTTTTTTCCAGGGGTATCGGAGGCGTTCTCGGCCCTTTCCAACACCCAAGTTCAATCTTGTCGGGGAGAGACGTCCCCGGGAATGTTTAATACAGGCCAGTGCCTTGACCGTCTGTGCCCTGGCCTGTAACGCCGACAGACACCCGTCAATCACTGCTTAAAGAACCCGTCCGTGAGCCCGCGTGAAATCCGGGGTAGACCCGCTAATGAAGTTAATGTACGTAACTGAGCCCAGTTAAAGGCGGTTGACCGCACGGGGCGGACCTGTTCACACCTCGCTAAATCCTGCCACAATGCCTTGTGGATCTTGCCCTGAATGGTATCGCTAATGTTAAGTACGTGAAGAGAATGAACAGGGATAGGACCCCCCCTTTCTGGCGCACCTGTGCAATGTTTGTCACCTTGGTCTCAATGGGCTTAAGATACAGAAGAGAAGCGCCGAATGATTAAACAAATAACTGATTGTGCCTTAAGACCCCCTGTTACGAATGGCGACTCCAGACTGTGTGTCATTGGCAAACCGCCCTCTGGTCCCGCTATGCAGCTTCTTCACCGTGTGTGCCGCAAACAAGTCGTTTGACATTAGTTTCTGTTTGGAAGTCTGTGTGTTTGGTTTAGCTCTTTGTAGCTGTAAGAACATGGAGCCTCTTTTTATAGTTTCATGGTGAGAAAAATGGGAACTTGACCAGGATTTTCTAACATTCACAAGATAGTCATCGTTGCGGTGACGTGCAACAGCAAAAAATCTCCCCAAAAGAACCCTAAGCAAGAAAATCAATTGCGCTGCTTTCTCTTTAACACCTTTTCGACTTCTTAATTGCCTTGTATTTACCCTTGAATGGAATTTCCTGTTGAAACTGTTTGTCAATAGTCTTAACGTCTCTGGTATTTAGGGGGGACAATTCCTTTCTCAATCTCCTTTCTTTGTCCACCGTGTTACGCTATTTCGACACTGCTGCGGTACTCCTTCGGGCTATTTAAGATTGAGGATGATGGGTTACGGTTGTTAGGGCCTGCCACACAGCCAACTTGGGACAGGGAAGAAACAGGATAAGTGTGACTTAACAGAGACATGAGGGGAGCTGTGATGTCAGCGTATCTTCGGCTTGTGTCATTTATGATCGTAGGGAAACTCAGTAGGAGAAGATTTTGTTAAGAATGTCAGGCGTCTGACCATTCTTCAATGTTACTCATCACTTTAAAGACCATGTTTAGCAATGTAACACAACCTTACTGTCACTTTGTAAAACAAGTTTAGATGCTCAACATTTGGTTACCAATCCCTAAAACGTCAATGTCCAATGGCTAAACACATTCCATCAAAACTCTTAACACGTTTAGAATCTAAACATGTTTCCAAACTGATAGCAAAAAAGTGTTTAGAAAAATGTTTAAATAACTAAACGGTCATGAAGTGATTTCTTTTTCCTATCTTTCTGCTCATTAGAATTTCTTCAAGGAATGAGTTATTGATTTTTAAGGGACATTGAAATCAATGATATAAATGTAAACAATTCTTATTATCTTGCATGTTTGAGCTTGTCATAATTATGGCACTCTACATCAAGTCAAGTCAAGTCGTTTGGACTTGTGTTCAGCACTCGCTATGAAAAGTCCTGCCCACAGTATTGAAATGTAATTGTCTGGAATATTTTATTTATGATGAAATTGTGGGAAGAAAAAAATGGATGGTGATTAGGTTTTGTCGAAAGGAGGAAACCCGCTCTCTTGTCGGTTTGCTGACCCGTCTCATTACCTGCACGCGGGGGCCCGCGGCCGGCTGGGGATCGGAAGCCAGCTCGCGTCGGCCCGACTCCACCGAACGGCAAACCCTGTCATTTCCTGACTGCGCGCGTCCAACCCTCTTCGCCTGCAAGCATAGCCGGGTCGGCTTTAGACGACGGGGGAAACCCGGCCTCGCGCACCCCCGTCTCCAACACCTCATGCCCGGGCAGGATATATAAGAGTCACCGGTAAAACACCGACAATGCGACTTCTACACTCGCGGCCAACCCTGCAGGTTTGGGCACAGAAAGAAAAAAAGAGCAAGACTGAAATTCCAGCCGAAATCTGACCCGAAGGCTGGCCTAGCATTTTTAGTCTGTGGGTATTATTAATTTCAGTATTTTTTCACTATGCGGGCAATGATGATGAAAAGTGGAGCAAAAGGTGTCTAAGATTACCGCCTGGATGGTGCGGTTATTGGCCGTCTTGCGGGGCTGTCCTGACCGACGCGACGACGGTCGGACAAAACAACTCTATCGGCCATTTTCTTTTGGATGACATCAGTGTCGGCTCAGTTTCAGGTTGAGGGTGCATGAATTGAGAACAGTCACGATCCGCTGGGGAAATGACCATGGCAAGAAGGGAAATGAGGTGATGCGGCCGAGGATGGACCTCTGTTGGCACTGTCGAGTCTCTCCAACAGTTGTTGTCCAGTATTCCGCAACAGCTTCCGTTTTCTTTGTGTAGACATTCTCAGTCATTTGCTAATCATCATGCGGTGCGTGAAATGCAAATAGTAACTAAATAATTATCAATACCACTCATGCGTGTGAAAGCAAGGTCATCGCTGCCAAGTATGTAGTGAGTGGACACAAACTGTAAATAAAGGGTTTTACCATTTTCGCATGTGTCAGTTGTAAGCCTATACCGGCGTATTTTTTAATGATCTACTACACTTTTTTTTCTGCCGTAAATTAGGGGAAACTTAATTTTGTTCATATTCTTTCAAGGCTATTTCGAAAATACTACATAAGGATTATTGTGCATGGACATCATACTACGAGCTGTAGCAGGCCTTCATACATATTTGACAAATAGGCCTACATCATGCTAGGAATTTTAGGAAAACTTAAAAAAGAGGCTTCATTCTTAGAAGATAAAATACGCGATCACCCACATATAAAGCAAACTCCGTCTAAAACTGACTCCCTAACTTTTTCTTAAGCTCATCCTGACGAATGAACTCAAGTCTAAAACGACCGAATTTACTATTTCGCTAACATCATACCTTTTTCACAACAAGGTCGCGAGAAGTGTAAGGTGACTCCGAGCTGCGTATTCAGGGCATCAGAAGTACTCTTTGGCGAACCAAAACAGGCTATCAAACTTATATTCCCCAGTTTAAAAAAAAACTGCTGTGAAATACATCTCAAGAGAGTGCAAATATTCTCATTACTGAAGTGCCAGCAAAATTACCCTTCACGCTGGGAGTGTGGATAGACTCAAGCCGAAGTACGCGGCCATTCAGTGCAGAGGGTCTGCTTTATTTACTGACATGAGGATAGCCAATTTCGCTCAGAGTGGTTGAAAATAGCGGGACCGAATAACGGGCTACCAAGTGGATGGGGTACTCTATTGAAACTTGATGATGATATTGAGTGTGGTAGATCTATGTACTCGGCTCATGTAAGCACCGAACTTGAAGAAACGGCGACTTTTTTTCTGGGATATTCAGGTACTCTTTTCAAGATCGAGGTTGGCTGCCTCAGTAATTTTCATTTCATAAACAATGGCCGTACATGATTTTAAAATGTAAAAGAAAGCAAATTACTTCTTGACAAGGTGATAGCAAATGATTATTTTGAGAGAAGTACCCTTACAATTTTCCTGTTATTGTCCAAATGTCGGGTGTAAAAATGGATGGGCTCTGCAACAGGGTTTGAGCTGTGGAACCATGCAGGCATGCACACGTGCGCACGGTGGTCCCAGCGTTCGGAAATCAATTTGGATAGTGTCAATCATGCCATCATCCAGTGAGCACCAATGGTGTCTCGCGCGACACGTCACCGTCATCGCATTCACGTTTGCTCATTAGAACGGTGACGCCCCCTCGGCCACCGCATCAGGCGATGAGAGATAGAAGCTAAAGCGCTGTGTGGTGCGTTAAAGCGGTAATGAACTGCCCCGAGCGGTGCAGCGCCACCCCTCAGCACCAGGCCCCTGCAGGCTACTCGGTCGGTGCATACAGTGACAGCCAATAGTTCTTTTTTTTTCTTAAGTATGCAGTCCCGTTGTTCCAATCGTGGGCCGGACCACTGCTAGTACACACCGTGAGCAGGACAGGGGGAATCCAAACCCACCTGTCGAACTCGTAAACGTACGTACGGGTACGAGCGCACGCGGGCTTAGGCGTGTTGGCACAGGAGATTTGGGCAACTCTTCATAAGAACCACCGCTGATCCGCTCAACCAATTTGCCATTACACCAGGGGGACTCTGGAGTGAGCGGTCGAGTTTCGTCGATCCGAACCCAGCCCTCTCCGCCCCAGCACTGCGCCGGCAAGTCATGTCATTGAGCCCCAAGACGCATTCGACTCCATTCTCGGTCACAGACATCCTGAGTCCACTCGAGGAATTTGGCTACAGGAAATCCATGCTGGACCCCAGTGGGAACTTCATGACCACCATGCAGCCGACCTACCGCAGCCCCCAGCACTCCAACAACATGCAGTCTTCGATGAACGTCCCCGTCAGTAACCCCTACCACATGCACGTCCCCCAGCTCTCCCACCCACCTCTCGGGACGACCTACTGCAACGGCTCCGTCGGAGAGCTGTCCCATTACAACGACCACGTCCGGCAGTCGGCTTCCAGCTGGTATGGCGCAAACCCAGATCCAAGATTTTCAAGTAAGTGTTTCATTTATAAACAATTATCTGACCACCAGCACCACCACCAAATCCCACCGCGACCCGAGAAAATACCAGCGGCAATTTTTAACGCATCATAATGTGTACTCGACAGTTGCTGCACTCGCTTGTCACATAGATTGAGTGTTCAGGGCGTGATCAGTAAATATGGCCACACAAAATAATGTTTTCAGTCGAGTCGATAAAGTACAAGTACTCTTCCCAATTTCAAGTCCGAAACATCACGCCTTTTCCAGGGCGACCCCAGTCCACGATCTACGTGCCTAAAAAACAGAGCCCCTCGGGGGAGGGCCTCTCCCCAACAAGTGAACCCTTAAAGCTGTGCCAAGATGCCCCTCCACGGCACTTGGGTGGAGACACTGAAGCCTCTCCTCTCTGTTGCCACGATGGTGCTTGTTCCTCTCCAAGCTCCTGGTTGCGAGGGGCAACCAGAGGAGGTTGAGATTGCCGGAGAAGTGGAACTCTTTATCACTTAAACTCTCCTCACGACCCGTCCTCCTGTGTAGCACCGGCCACTCATCCGCTGCCCCTCAGCCAACTATAAGAATTTTTACTTCAAACAACTTCAACCCAAAGTCATTGCCTGGCCTGTAAATCAAACAATCTGTGCTGCCGTATGTTTCTCCCGTAAGCAGCCAACAGATGTATAGGTTTTTCTGCTATATTTGTAATTTATTTTACATTTTTCTCCTTTATGCGGTCCCATGCTTTTTATTACTTTATAATTCACGCCAAATCATCATTGCATTTTAACTCGGAATAATATTCCAATAGGATGATATCTACCATCTGTGATTCAAGCTAAGCTTTTTATTACATTTGTCTTTACACTGTTATTGTCATAAATATCTCTCCTTTTTAAACTTTTGTTTCAATTTTTACTTTAGAAAAATCTGATATGAGTTTCCCCTTTTTATTTTAGTTACAGTCGAATTTATTTTTGTCCACTCACCTCAAAAGTTTCAAAGGTTACTCTTCGATTGAAATAGAAAATTGTATGCATCGCACCTGCTCTGTTGATAAGCTGAGATTGATTTGGAATTTATAATGGCTATAATATGCATTAACATGCTTGCCGAAAGTTATGAAAACTATCCACGATAGCGTGGAGGTATTCTTCGTTATTGTAAGGTGAGGAACCTCAACAATATAGTGATGATCAATAACTGAGCTGAACTGGTTTTCGTTTCGTACTAATCTGAATGCTCACTTCTTATTTTTCCTGTTTCTTTTTCGATTCAGTTTCGCGTCTGATGAATCCCAATTCTCCGATGAACATGAACATGAATATGAACATGAATATGAACATGAATATGAACATGAGTATGCCGGGCCTTGGAGGGGACTTGTCCAAGCCCATGTTGCCTTCGGCTCAGCGTCGTAAGCGGCGGGTGTTGTTCTCCCAGGCCCAGGTCTACGAGCTGGAGCGGCGGTTCAAGCAGCAGAAGTACCTGTCAGCCCCGGAGAGGGAGCATCTGGCCAGTCTCATCAACCTGACCCCGACCCAGGTCAAGATTTGGTTCCAGAACCACCGGTACAAGATGAAACGGCAGACAAAGGAGAAGAACATGGCCGAAAACAACAACGTATGCCACCAGTCTCCGCGGCGCGTGGCTGTTCCTGTGCTGGTGAAAGACGGTAAGCCGTGCAACGGTTCGTCCAACGGCAGCTCCAGCGGTGGCTCGGCCCACGACAGTGCGTCCCCGCAGCTAGGTGACGATGCCCACAGCACGGGCAGCGACCATGCCAACTCCATGCCTAGCGCCCACCAGGCACCGGCCCACCATGTCCCCACTACCGTGCAGCAAGCCCACCTGGCCCCACCAGCTCACAAGGCGGCCCCGGTGAACTCCTCTTCGTCGTCTTGCAGTGGGCACGGTGTGGGCGCCAACACGGGGCCCGGCGTGACTTCTTCCCATTCGCCTCATCATCAGTCAGGGGCAGTCAACCCGTACCACGCCATGAATGGCACTAACATGTCCTCCGCTGCACCATTTCTCCTGCACGGTAGAACATGGTGACAATCATCCCGGGCGACAGGCAGAAACGACTCCTACCTGCCCTTGAATCCCGCAAGAGTAATAGGTTGACAGCGAATGCAGCCTTAACTTTTGTGGTCAAATTTGAAAAATCCACTACAACGAGCAGAACGTTGATTGTGATACCACGCATTGAGACATCTCAAGATGCACACAATTACTGACAAGCCAAAACTTTTTATTGCATAGGCCAAATTGATGAGACTTTAACAGACTCTGACTGAAGGAGGGGAAATCAAAAAAAGTATGGCCTAAGCGAATTAAAGACATCACGTGGCGCTTAATTTAAGCTCAACCGAGGTGAGTCTTCGTTTATCTCTCTGCGAGACAGTCTGCTTACTTTGGCTTGGCATTCTCCGTTGTCAACCCACACACTCAATTTTGCTGTACCTTTTACATACTTTTGTTCGAAACTCTGTTTTCAATTTGTTTACTACTAGATCAAACTGTGGGTGGTTGTTGTACAAAAAGGTTTAAAAATTATTGTCTTAGATTCAACAGCATATGTCTAGAAAATTATGTTAAAAAATTATGACTTGTTTCGAGCGGGGACGTAGTACTTTTCTGAACGAACTGTAGAAGAGTTAAGTCGGTATCATATCAGAGCTTTCTGAAGTAAGCCTTTTCGCATTTTATATCTGTCTGCTTGGAAACAATTTCTGTCATTGTCGCCACACGACTCAAACAAATTTTGTTGAAAATATGTAATGGTCTCAAGTTGTCACTCATTGTGATCACAGATTGTTCAAACCACCTTGAATGTCGTAAGAAGTTGTTTATTATGACAGCTTTTTTTCTGATCAAGACCTTTGTAAAGTGTTCAAGCAGCCGCATTACTTTGACTCTCAGAAAAAAAGATATCTGTTTATGGGTTGCTCTGGCCTCTGTAGCTCCTTTTTTTAAATTTCAGCAGGCAAATTGATGATGTGATACACGAAGCATATTTACCAAGTGCATAAGCATTATTGGTCATAGATGACATCAAAGTTTCATTTGTGTAACAGATACTTTGAGCAGACTTGCTTCACACTGGTGTGTTTGCAGTGGTTTGTTACAACTCAGGAAACAAAATGAAAGGGGGGGGTTAGCCGCAGATTAACATTTTTTAATGTAAGAATCAGTATGGCCAACATTACCGTTTGGAATTCTCCACTGTCACTGTAGTCTGACAAGTTGATGCACAAGTTATAGAGAATAACATTTAACAGCTTTTATGGTTGAACACCCATCTTTATATTATTGGAAGATGCGGCTTTCAAATTTCACATCTCACCAACGCATGTAATCCTTGCAAAACTGGAGTTTACAAAATCAGAGTGACTTTTGGCCTCAAGATGCGACTTCTCTGTGTGTGAACTACTGACACTTTTCATATAATTAAGAAGCGCATATTTACCAGTGTTAGGTTTAAGCAGTTTATTTTATCACTGCGGTGCATTTCAAGTTAGCCTACCACGGACTTTGCATTACAACTATCCCGTACATGCGTACCCATGATCGTAATGAAAGCTTGACTCCCAGAAAGTCAAAGTAGTGCAACGCAGCAATCTCGTTCAACGGTTAAACGAGTTATTTTCTAGGTTCACAAATCGCGTTTTCCCAACCACTCGTCCCTTGATTGTTCACGGAGTTTGTTTAATACAGGCCGTCACTGGCCCATATGGCAGCTCCAATCGCTTGGTATTTGTGTACGTACACGTGTAGCCGCTACAAGGCAACCAAGATATGTCTGAGGTCAAGATGACTTGCACTAGTAGCCTCAGTCTTCCCCATATGACATGGGCGCATGAATTGGCCTTCCCTGGTCCCACAAAAGACACGGTAAATTTACCTACACCAGGACAAATTTGTACACTGTTCGTTATCGGCCGTTGTGCCAGTACTAGCCGGGTCAGTTGCTAGACACGTCTGAAAGAATGTTGTTTTTTTTAATCCTCATATATACACATCCTTTGTCCTGAATATGCGCTATTATTGCTATCTGATGTTCGAGAAACACGGAAAGAATTTAGACAAGACCAATACTTAAAATGTTACCAGAATGCTGAAAGCTTCATTTTGTCCGACGAAGTTGTGCACCTTTATAAACATTTGTGAAATGGCAAGTTTGCTTAAAGAAACTATTTCAGTGTTATTACATTCATCATAATTATGACAATCACAGAGATTTAAAACAACCACATGTCTACCCTATCACGACATTTATTTGGGGGAGTGTAACAAGGGTTCGTTGGCGTTTGAGACTCACAGCTTAGCTCTTCCAAACACACACATATTTACACCAAGGAGTCTGACAAAACATTTGGTGTGAGTCGGAGTAAAGTTGATCACAATGCCGAAATGATTGTGCTTCTACTGTTAGTTGGGTAGATGTTCCGATTTTCTATGAGCCCAGTGGTTTGCTATTGTGTAGTAAAACAGTGGGCGTTGCTTTCATGTCGTGTGTCTGTTGAGGCTCACGACTTTATTTTGTTTTGTACACCCCACGTCTCAGAAATAACGAAAACAAAATCGCTGAGATTGCTTATTTACACGTGACCGCACTTGCTTGCATGAGGAACTTTATTGCCTACCCCGTATCTTGTCTGTTGCTCTAGGCCGTTTGAAGTGTGCAGGAAAATATACTGGAAGATAGAATTCGTAAAGATGATTAACTTCGATGCAAGGGAAACTGAATAATATCAATTCAAAATAAAGAATTGTATCTTCTTTAATGGACTTATTTATTTACTTTACACACCTGAAATACAATATTTAACTATAGAGTGTACTATTGAAAATATTACCCCACTCCATTTTGTAAAAGATCTGTACCCAATGTTCCAATGTTTTGTTTTGTGATTTTTCTAAACTTCAACAAAATACTGTTTGTACTAACAACACTTCATCTATAAAGAATGTAAGAATAGTGAGTAAATAAAGATAATGCTGTTCAAGAAATTGTACAGAAATAAATTGTCGAAGAGTTTCAATTTTCAGTTTTTCTTCACGATTAAGTTGCCTTTTGCAATCTGTATTCTCGCGGTGATTTGCAGAAGATACATCAATGTCTTATCCTTCACTTCAACAAAGGTGAAAAATCGACTCGGTCTTCCTGGATAATTTTTCCTGATCTAAGGACTGTCTTCAATTAAAGGCTGTTAAAGTCACAATTTGCAAAACAAAAACATGCATGTTATTATAAGATTAGGTTTTTGCATTAAGGCAAAATTTCTCTGTTTTAAACAGCGCCGAACAAGAACCACCAGTTTATTTAAATTTCAAACCACCGTTGTATTTAGCAAATTCCTTTTTATAGTAAGTAATATCGCTAAAGAATCTTTTACAATGGCAAAATGTGAGCAAATTCTTTAAAACTCAACCTCTTTTTGTTTGGTACGCACGCATCCTTCGCAATTTAGGTTCATTAAATCTCATAAGTTTTGTCGTTACCACGTAGGCTACTTCAGTCACACACCGGTTTCCCCAAATATTCCTGTACTACCTTGAGTTCATGTTCGTCCATATTAAGTGACAATTGCCATTTGGACAAAAAATATGCGCCAAGCAGGCAGCAGTGCATCAAATTGATCAATGAAACACTGAACAATGACATCGTTGAACGTTGTTTAATTCCGGATGTGCGATTCGACAGCTATCCCGGTACTGGCAACAGTGTCGAGCCAATGATTAATTAAACTCAACCAGAAAAAAAACGAAACACAAAGCCAAGGCAATGGTTAGCTTGAGTATACTTTTCTTCTGGAAACAGGAACCACACAATAGAAACAACTGCGAAAGTTACACAAAGTTCAAAGAGCGAAAAAGCATAATAGCGGCATGCGTGAGCCTTCAGGAATGTAAACATCACAACTACATCAAAAACATCTGTTGGGAGGTCCCACTGCTCAAATGTGGAGGGGGAAACTGAAAATGTAAAAAAAAATTGCCACAAATTAGCTGGTTCGTGAATTTTTTTGTTGTTGTTGACTTTCGACTAGCTCCTACCCTTAGCTTTTCGCCGACTAGCCAAATAATTAGCCCAGTTTCGTTTGGATTCGACAAAATGTTGCTGGTAGAGTCGGAGAGTGCCATGGGTGAATTTATTGTAGGCAGGGGAAAATGTTCGTTTTCACCGTTGTGCCTATAAACGAAAGGCAAAAGAGAGTTTGAACAACGCCTGAGGACAATCAACTGAGTGAACCGAGCGTTGATGAGTAAAGACAGTTTCATGCAAATTATGCCAAGTGGATCGCAAGTCAATCAGACAAATTAATGAAGTGAAGCCAGCGATGTGGAATACAGGTTGGTTCAACCACAGGTCTCTACAGCTTGTACGTATTTTATAGCATGACAAAACTCGGAACCTTATGAAGCACGTCACCTTTCATTAATTTATCGAGACTTTTGTTTATTTCAACTTAAAAACTCGAAGTTAGTGTCTGCTTTTCAACTCTAACAAAGGAATCCGTGCCTTGGGAAAGTGTTTATTGACTTTATTTCAGCCACGCACCATTGTGTCAAAAAATAGCATTTTAGGATAACAAAATACATTATTGATTCTATTTTATTCAAAACAGGAAAACAATTACGATCCATCATGTCAAGCAAAAGAAAAAATGAACATACGGTAAAGGAAAGGAAATGTTGACCTGGCAGAAGGGATGGGGAAATGGGAAAGGCTCACCAAACTTTAAAAAACCATGAACTACACAAATGAAGGAGGCCTGTAATGTAATTTCGCTGAATCAAAATCAGTACACACCCAAATGTGGATTTCACTTGTAGGGCCTAGGTTACAAATCCATTTTTCTTTTCTTTTTAAATTAATTTCTTGCAAAATGTAGAAAAGGACTGGTAAAAAATAAGCGTGTTGCATGAGAGTCATAAGAGCAGCTAGGTAAGGAAAGGTTTTGCTTTTCACGCTGAGATTTCGTGATTGATCGGGGAATGTTGTGTACTTATTTTGCCTGTTTTGTTTTCAATTCCTGATGGTTTGTTTTTCTTCTCAATTTCAGAAAAATCTGTCCACCAATCGCCATGTCGAGTGTATGTGTCAATAGAAAACTTCTGCACGAACGTACATAATCGATTTGTCAAGGGATTGAGCCAGAATGGGTCCCCCCCCAAAAAAATCATTTTCATGATGAATGTTGGGTTTTACCATTATACATACACCAGACTGTGACTTTGGACCTCTCCAGTGATCGGTCATGCCAGCAACTGCTGGGGGTATCAACAGCCTCGCGGCGGCATCCACCCGCCGTCCCGCCATCGCTCGCTTCTGCCCATCGGCGATGCAAGGCACGACGGTGCGGCACGTTCTTTTTTTGTGTGTAAGGGGGACAAAACCATGGTCTCCCATTAGGAGAAGGTGTCACGCGTATTTAAACCTCGATGAGATTAGTTTGGGGTTGTTTGATGTAATTATCACGCAACATTAGGCAGTAAAAACACGAGCTGGAAATGGTTGCTTCGACATGCCCCGTGGATGGTTTTGTTATGGTGTGATGATACACGGCAGCCAAAGACATTTTGTTATGTTTGTGGACCCGACATATTACCGGGCTATTCCACTGCCCGTCCATGATTACAATTCGCTAGAGAGCACAGTCAAGGATCGCTGTCTTTTAGTTGGCGACGATGAATCTACCAATTCACGTTTATCTCGAGTTTCGGGCGAATTTAGAGAAAGCTGGTTGAATCTCGCGGGTTGTTTGCCGTGGAGATTTGCCCGTGCCGTGAGAGACATGGTTGGTAGAGAAGAGCCATAACCAAACATGAATGAAATCAACTGGTCGTCGCTCTCCACCAATTTCTACTATGGCCTGGAAATTACTTTTGAAGTAATTTACGCTTGCCTCATTCAACTTATGGCAAAGTGCTTAGAGACTTGAGAGAGAGGAACATTTCTTTTCGTTTCAGTTGGAACTATTTCTGTTCATGTAGGTCTAGCCTACTCATGTTGTAATTAGCTTCAGTTTCCATGCACTTTCATAATCAAGTAAAGTAATGATCCTTAATATTATCTACCACGTATTAAACACCGTCGTCATTTTACAGAATTTATGCAAAGTGAACTCTTACGATCGGTGGCTCATGAGAAGGCATTGTTAATGAAATCTCTGGGAAATGTACTTCATTTAATCCAACCATTTTCAAAGGGATGTCACAGTAAAAAGACGTTAAAATTGCAAACTGGCACGAAAAAAATCGAATGGATCCTTTTTTCCCCCGCATAATTCGAGCATGCACCTTCTGTAGACACTGACTTTTCTAATTCACATTGTCACTCAGGTCCATTGCCTTTGCCCATGCTTTAACTTCAGGCATAATTATAATCACTTTCGTGTGATTGCTGATGATTGTGAGGGATCGGCGCTTGGGACATTCGCTTTCCAATCGCACTTTATCATTATTGAAAAAACAAAACAAAAATATTTTCCCCAAACAAATGATTTACACAGAGGGCCAATACGTTTCCCCCATTTTTATTTTAAAAATATTTGTTTGGACAAAAACACTTCATGCTTTGCTCGAGTCTTTTGAAACACAGCAGAAGTGGCTTTGGCAAACTCCCAAAACTAGATCAGGAACAAAAATAAAACTGCACACCCCGGGCGAGATAGCCGGCATGCCACACGCCGGTGTTGCCATCCAGGCAACGGGCTACGGGAGGTGCTCCCCTGGTGCAGCTCGGCTCGTAAGGACAGTAGCACCGCGGAGGCATGGCACACAAAGGGCCCCTTCGTCATTATCAGGTCATTAATTGCCGATTTCTTTGTCCGGAATCACTTGCAATGGGCGGTCCGTGCGACAGGGGATCAACAAATGAATTTCAAGTACCAAAAATTTTGACACGTGTTGTTCCATTTTGGCACCACGGCATGAAAAAGAAATAAGCGATAGATGAAAAAAAATACTGTGTTGCATGAAATCTCTGATACCTCTGCAGGCTTTGAGCCCTGTTGAGAACGTTTGCAAATACGCCAATGGTTTTAAGAACGACAACTGTTGATGTTCACTGTTCAGTCTTAAACCGCCCCAACGAGCTTTCGGAACGGGGCAGGATTATTAATGATACGGTGTGCATTTGTTGCAAGTTGTGCCAAAAAAAAACCCCGAAAAGTGATGAGATGCAGACGTACAAGGCAATATTCAGTCAGGATCCGAGGTGCGTTAATTAACCAAAAAAGGAGTCAAGGTCCGATTATGTTTCGTGCCTTTCTTTACCACGTGGTTCTAATTATCTATTCAGTATCTCCGTTTCCACAATCAGAAAAATCATTACTAAATAACAATATGAATTGGCTTGGATTCCTCATAACAAATCTCAGACTTACGTTTTTCTTTATACTAAGTTTTATTTATATAGGGGTACATTCCAGATTCAAATGCCTTCCTTTTCTGGGTTAAGACAGTTTTACAAAATCAATATCATATGGAATATAAGATTGCTATCAAAATCAAACCCTTAGTCTTCATCATAAAAAATGGAAATGTCAATTCTAAATCTGTAAACCCCATGCAATCATTTCAAATGGACATGTACAGTGACCGTCTTTCTACATCTCTTCACGGCTCCCACTTTTTTTCCGAAGATTTTTTAATACTTTCCATTTATCTCCTGTTTTCTCAATCTCCTTTATTGTGTATAATTTGTGCCTTTTCTTTCTAATGTATGTTTTGCTTTCTTATGATCAATAAAACATAGAAAGAGAAAAAATGAATTGGCTCTGAGCCCTTGTTCATGAATATGCATTCGTTTCTTTATTTCAGTGTTATTGTTTTCAAACGCCACCAAACTGAATGTCACGTCGGCCCGCGCCGCGTCGACGAATTAATCATTACAAGTGGGAAAGCGTGAAACGAGGAGTCGTTTTTGTAATAATTTGAAATGGAGTGTTTCTATTCACCTGCTTAGAAAGAGTGCCGATTACACAATGTGCAAGGAGCCTTGCCAAGGACTGATTTGG